CGGTTTTTTTGTGTGTGTGTGTATGTGAGTGAATTTATTTATTTATTTTTAGCTCTCACCAATAAGTGAGAATATGTGGTATTTCTTTTTCTCTGCCTGACTCGTTTCACTTAATATTATTCTCTCAAGGTCCATCCATGTTGTTGCAAATGGCAGTATTTCATTCGCTTTTATAGCTGAGTAGTATTCCATTGTGCAAGGAATTACTTTTTAAAAAAATCCTATTGCTACTGTACTGTGAAATGCTGCTTGACATCAGCTGCTTCTGTCCTCAGCAGGCTTTGATGAAATGTGGGGAGACCTTAGCCCTCAGCAAGAACAGGGAGTTGGCTAGACAGAGAGACTTTGATTATCATGGCTCAGGCTGAAAAACTTGTTAGGTAGCTTTAAAAAAGAGACAAGGTTAGAGAGTATATTGTCTTTTTGTTTGTTTTAAAGCCTAAAATAATCTTTTTGCTCTAATAACCTGTGTGGACACCATTATTATTCCAACTCTTTTTCTCCCCTCCCATCAGTCATTTCTACTTCTGTCAGCGAAAAAAGACCGACTGCCAAGAAATATCCATGTCCCAGAGTTATCAATGAAAAGTCTTTTTGAGGTAAGGTGGCTTCTTGAAACATATGGTTTCAAATCAGACCACTTCAGCCTTGTATTTGGGACCTTTCCCTTCTGTTGCCTCACCACAGATTTGTTATTTATAATAATCTTAGGCTTGAGCCACAGCTAATCCAGGTTTTACTGATTCCAAACTGTGGGTGAAGGAGTTTGAAGTTTCATATTGATGTAGTGACTTCCGTGATTCTTTGTGTATGTGTGTGTGCGTGTGTTTTTTTTTTTTTTCCAGAAATATGTCTTCATTGGACTTTATGAGAAAATGGAACAGGTGCCCAAGTTAGTCCAGTGGCTCATTTCCATTGGTGCAAGTATTGAGACTATAGGACCATACCCTCTTCATGCCCTCATGCGACTCTGTATCCAAGCAAGTGAGTGTTCTCCCAGTCACATACCCTCCAAGCTGCCCTTCTAGCTCTGAGCTCTGGGACTCTGCTGCTCTCAAGTGAGATTAGAATTTAGCCACTCAAATGCAGAATATTCAAATGATTTGAATATCCAAATGATTTGATTATTCAAATGAACGAAACAGCAGGGAAACAACATCATTTTTCTTTCTCCTGGTACCTATTAGCTACAGGAGGCCCAAACTGAAAGGATTCCGTGTTCCTAGACAGATCCCGGCAGCAGGGTGGAGCCCTAGGACCCAAGAAGGGGACTTGGGACAGTCCGCTTTTGCTGGGCAGAACTCCCAGGAGAGCTTTTAAGTTTCCTCCTGCTGGCAAAGGCAGCTTTGGTCTTTTCCTCCCGGTTTGGTTTTTTTCTAGCCCACTACTGCTGTGTTCTGGGGCTGTGGCTGGGGTGGGGGAGATCCCAAGGGAAACATAGGCTATTGCTGATATAGTTTGATTATGGTTCTTTTAAAGGACTGCTATTTTCATAAAATTCTTTTTTTTTAAAGCTTCACCATCTGGTTATAGGATTTAAAATTTAAAATATTTTTGCTTTATTGTTAGCACACACACACATTCACAGTTTAGGTAGAAGCTTGTTTTTCCTTTTCAAACATATGTGGCATCACTGTTGGACATTTACCCATACCATTTTAGAGCCAGAAGGGGCCAAGAGAACTTGTCTAATCTACCTTTTCTAGGTGATATCATCTCTCCAGGAATGGGGGAGTACGGGGTGGTCAGGGGCTTGAGGCCTTGGATCCCTATCTTTGCTTTAGCCAGATTTATCCTGCTATTATACATTTCATGTATTGGGGAATCCGTAAGAAATTTTGTTCTTACACAGGGATTGGTGGATAAAACATTTAAAAGTTAAGTGTGATAAAAAGCAATTTAATCCAATCCTCCTGGTTTCACATTAAGAAACTGGAATGCTGAGAAGTGTGCCTCTGGTTAGGAATGTCATGATTCCTCACTGTGTCTATTCTAAGTTAGCTCCTGTGGTTGCGGGTGGTATCAGTAAGATCAGGTCTTCAAGTTTATCCCTGATTTTCCTCAGAGGACAACTTGATATGGTAACAAATGGTGTCCACAGAGTTGGCAAAGGTGTGTGGCTTTTCCTAGATCTCAGCTACAAGTAAGGAGTCTGGGAAAATAATTGAAAATATATGTACTACTGATAGTAATCTTCTAATCAGAGATACTGGCTTGATTATTGAAGTGTTGGTGCCCCTCCTAGATCCTCTTCACCACCAGTACCCCCATCCCCACTTGCCCTCAGTGCTGCCTGCTCACAGTTCACATCTGCCCTCTCCGCCAGAGAACTACTCTCTGCCAATAGGCACTGCTTCCCAGGGAGCTTCTCCCTCCACCTTGCCCTTCTCCTTGGGGGCATTAGGTAGCTTTTGACAGACTGACACCGGGGATACAAAAGGCCAACCCCCTGGCCCAAGGAGGGTCAACTCTTTGGTGTGGTTCACACTCCAGAGTGCTTCATGGGATCAGGCTGGAGCCAGCTCCAGCTAAAACCACTTCCCTGCTTAGCTGCTTCCTCTGCTCTGTTCTGCTTTCCTCATTCTCTTTTTCCTGAGATCTCTTTCGATAAATCTCATGTATAGGAATTTCTGTCTCAAGCTTCTAGGGAACCTGACCTAAGATTACTATGAATAACTTTCTATAAGTCATTGTTTCAACTTACAAATACCTGTTTGTGGTGAGTGGAGATGTGTGTTGGATTCCCCATCTGATTACCTTTGTGCAATACACTTGCTTTGCTGATTTTCTGTATGTAGACAATAACAATCTTTTTAATTCCCTGCAGGGGAAAACCATCTTTTTAGGTGGTTAATGGACCACAAGCCTGAGTGGAAAGGCCGCATCAACCAGAAGGATGAGAATGGCTGCACTGTCCTGCACATGGTCTCCGCCCACACCCCAGGGTACCTCATCAAGCGTAAGTAGCAACACTGCAGGACGCAGGAGAATGTGCTGTGGGCTGGGTGATTTCAGGAACTGGAAGACTCATACAACTGACCACTATGTATTAACTGTTCCATCCTGTGGCAGGCTCAGAGGGCCAAACTTTCCTTTGAATTAAACATGATTGGGAGAGTAGACTGTATGCAGGAAGACGTGGGGTGAGAGAAGGAAGAATCACTGGGCTCTGTGTGCTCTTCAGGCTTTAATTGGTTCTGTGGGGTTGAATGACTCAAGGACGTGGCTTCTGGCCGCATTAGTTTCCTCCCTCATCACACAGTTACTAAGTGCCTTATTTTATGCTGAATCTGTGTTAACTGCAAGAGATAAATTGTGAACCAGACAACAGATATGTTCCTGCATTAATGGCACCTAGAATCTAACACAGGAATTGTATCCTCCCATACCCATTGGGGTCAGATGGTCTGTGTGAAAGAGTGAGGCTGGCACATGCAAGGGAAAACTGGTTCTTTTGATAGGGACATACCTTGTTAGCCTGGGAAACAGGAAGACCATGTTCACTCTCACAGAGCTCTCTGATGGCACTCAGTTTTTCTTAAAACTTTCAGACCCCTCAGTCTTTGTTTTCTGTTTTGGATGGAGAAAAACATATCTTTTCCATAATGGTAATGGACTGTCAGCCTCAGTGGAAGGGAGGTGACAGGGAGTGGCAGGGAGCTTGAGCTTGGTACTGCCACAACCTGGAGCTGATCATGGGAACCAGGCTGGCTGGCTGTCATTCTCTGATGTCAAGGGATGTTGGAAATCTGGATTTTTTTAAAACTGTGAAATCTAGTGATTTTCAAATGTCAGCTCAGAACTAAGTATGCCTGTGGGCTAGACACAGCCTGAAGGCCTCCAGCTGGGGGCCTCTGGTCTGGTGGGTCCTCCTAGGAAATTTGCAGTTTTCTATCTTCAGAATTCTCAGGAGGAGCCCAGTGAGGCTTGTTTCTCAAGTGCTATTTCCTGCTGAACTGGGACCCAGGAATCTACATCTGGGGAAACAGAGAAAGGGTGTTCTGTGGGTTTTTGGGGGCTTTATTGAAATATAATTTATATACTACATAATTCAGTTCAGTGCTTTTTAGTATAGTCACAGAATTAAGCAACCATCATCACAGTCATTTTAGAACATTGTTATCATCTCAGAAAAAAGCTCTGTATCTATTAGCAGTCATTCCCCATCTCCCCCTACCCTGCCAGTCCTAAGCAACCACTAGTGTACTTTTTGTCTCTTGAATTTTCCTATTCTGGACATTTAATATAAATGGAATCAGATAATATATAGCCTTTTGTGACTGGCTTCTTTCACTAGCATGTTTTCAAGGTTCATCTGTGTTGTAGCATCAGGACTTTGTTCCTTTTTAGTACGAAGTAATATTCTGTTGTATGAATATTTCACATTTTATTTATTCATTCCTTAGTTCATGAATGTTTGAATTTTTTCTACTTTTTGGCTATTTTGAGTAGTGCTGCTATAATAATTTATTTACAGGCTTTTGTGTGAGCGTATGTTTTCATTTTTCTCAGGTATAATATATACCTAAGAGAAGAACTGCTGGATCATATAGTAATATTATATTTAACCTTTTGAGGAATTGCCAGACTGTTTCCAAAGTGAATGCATCATTTTACTTTCCTACCAGCAGTATGTGACAGTTCCAGTTTCTCCTCATCCTCAGTAACACTTATTATTACCTGTCTCATTGATGCCCAATGTGTTTTAGTACCTTCCTAAACACAGTGGTGTCCTGGAAAATGTTTATCTGATTTTCAAAAAAAGAAACCCTGAATTGTAGTGTTTGTCGGTTTCCATAAATACTCCCACAGTGGCCAATTTTATACCACCAACATGATGTCACTGAACAGAGCTGGGAAGAGATGTTCAGTAGTATATCATTATATTGTATTTTCAGCATACAGATACATTAAGATAGATGTAAAGAAACCTCATCATAGATAATAGCAAAATGCAGTAAAATAATTGTGACGTGATTAATTTTGTTTTTAGTATAATTTGTTAACCAGCTTGCAACATTCTGGACATTAAACAATTGTTTTTTGTGAACAGGAATGAGCTGGCTCCAGCACACCACTGTGCTAAGGGTAACATTAGCCTAGAAATTTTTGGTTAAAGTCTGTGTTACCAGTCAGGGCGCTCTCCTTACGCATCCCCACTCTGCAAATCCTCAAGAAAAGACATTTCCAGACAGGTCTCTTTGAATTGCAAAGAAATACATTTCCAGGTATCCTGACATCCAGGTGACTAGAGCAGTGTTTGGGTATTTTAAGTGCCTGCTATGCCCTGGATCCTAACTGTATGTATTGATAACTTGGAAAGCATTTCATTTCCTGAGACTTTAGCCTGTGCTGTCCAATACAAGTATAATGACAGTCCATATACGATTTAAAAAATTTTAGTAGTTGTATAAAAAAGTAAAACAAAATAGGTGAAATTAATTTTAATAATATATCTAACTCATGTATCCAAAATATTATCATTTCTCTTTGTAATTAATACAAACATTATTGAAATATTTTCCATTCTTTATTTTATTTTTATTTTTTCAGTTTTCTACTGAGTCTGAAATCCAGCATGTATTTTATATTTTTTTAGCACATCCTAATAAGGACTAGTCACATTTCAATAATCATATGTGGCTAGTGACTACCATATTGGATGACACAATTTTAGATTATTTCTTATAAACACTGAAACCTTTCCAACTTTCCGAAGGTTGGGAAGATAAACGTGAAATAAAGAGAGGGCCCTTAGTTCGTGTAGAAGGAAACATAGGCTGCCTCCATGACCTCCACTGAGTGAGGCTTTGCAACTCTCACAGGGTTCTTCTCCTTCCTTCTTTCTTTCTCCCTACCTCCTTCCTTTTCTTTTTTTTCATCAGGGAAACTCATCTTTTTTTTTAAAGTTTCATTTTGAAATAATTTTAGACTTTAAGAAAAGTTGAAAAAACATTTGAGAGATTTTCTGTATACCCTTCACCCAGCCTCCTTAATGTTAACATGTTTATGTAACTAAAGTTTAATGACCAAAATCAAGAAATTGACATTGATATAATACTATCAAATGGTATACAGACCTCATATCAATTTAACTAGTTTTTTCACTAACATACTTTTTCTGTTTCAGGATCACACATTACATTTGTCCGTATCAGTCCCTATCACTGCCCCAATCAGTCTTTCCTTGTCTTTCTTGACCTTGACCCTTTGAAGAATATTGGTTAGTTACTTGGTAGACTGTCTCTCAATTTGGATTTGTTTGATTTTTTTTTTTAACGATTGGAATGAAGTTATACAGTTTTGGTAAGAATATTGCAGAAATGATTTTGTGTTCTTCTCAGTGTGTCATATCAAGGGGTTCATGATGTCAATATGTCTTATGATGTCAGACTTGATTATTTGGTTAAGGTGTGATCTGTGGGATTTCTCCACTGTAAAGTTACTATCTTTCCTTTTTGCAGATAATATGTATCTTGGAGGCGATACATTGAAATATGCAATTTTCCTGTTTCTCCTCAAACTTCTGCTCATTAATTTTGTAGCCATTGGTGGATCTTATCAGTAGCACTTATTAATGTGGTCTTTGATTAATGGCAATTTTTTAAAAACATGTTCTTTCTTTTTACCTTTATTGCTTTTGTAAAAAAGAGCTGTTGCTTCTCCCCATATATTTATTATTCAATTATTTAATTATTTCAGTATGGACTCCTGGATATTTATTTTATTCTATGTGATAAAAATCCAATACTATCATTATTTATTTTGTTGCTCAGATTGTTCCAGCTTTAGCCATAAGGCACTCCTTCAGATTAACTCCTGTGTTCCTTGGACAGATCCCCATCCTTTTTTGAGCACTTCCTTACTTTCAGGCACTACAAGATGATCCAGGCTCATCCTCAGTGTTCTCTGTACCAGGTCTGGAATCAACCACTTCTCTAAAGATCCCTGGTTCCTATTGTTGGAAAATAGGGTAGCAAACAAGATTTGGTACTAGATGTGACATGCTAATTGGCGTGTCATTGTTTCTAGGCCTTCTCAGCAGATAGAGCTATGACATACATGTATGTATACCAACCCAAGATACCCACATCTATATTACTGTATCTGTCTTCATAGGTCTATACTACAATGAGTTAGACTGATATCTCTGATTCCAGTCCAACGCCATTGTCATTTAGCCTTTTCTTATTTGTAACAGCTCTCATCTACAATATATTTACTTATTTGTTCAGTTCTATGAGTTTCAGACTAGTTAACCGATACCTCTGTGAGAAACCCATTTATTGACTAGATTTATGTCCATTTTTATGTTCATTTATGTTCAGCATTTTTTTGTCTTCAACCTTAGAGCATCCAGTCAAGATATTGTTAGTTGTTTTCTTTCCCACCCCCTTTACTGTGGTTATCTCAGTCATTTGTAGGACACTTAGGCTCTTTTTTTTTTTTTAGTGTGTATATTTCATATTTGGGATTCTCCTCACATCACTACTGCTTTTGTGTGTTTATATTTTGGGTATGTGAAGGGCATGTGAAATATTACTATGGTTCTAGGAGTTAGAACTTTACAAAAAGATGTACTTACATAAATGTCACTTCCTCCTCATCCCTGCTCCATCTCTCTCTTCCTGTTTCCTTTTTCTCTTTGCTCCTTTCCCATCCTCCCCTGTAGGTAATCAATTTCTTTAATTTCAGTCTTATTCTTCTTGGATTTCTTTTGCAGCAGTGAGCAGACACTTTTGTATTTTGTTACATCTTTTTTTACACTGAAGAGTCATATTGTATAGATACTCTTTGGCATTTTGCTTTTTTCAGTAACAGTACGCGGTAGAAATCACTCCATATCAATTCATATGCATAAATGCATATGTAGTTTTGTTAGATATTATCAAGTTTTCATCTAGGAGGGTTGCACCAATTTGTATTACCACGAATAACACCTCTCCCCACAGCCTCACC